TCTCATTTTAGAGATTATAAGAATGAGCGCCAAACTTTCTTATATTTTGGCAGTTTTATGATTTTGAAACTTTTTATTTGTTTAGTGGACATACATAATAAGGTGACTGATATGACTGACTACATTTGCTCTTTCTCTTGCTTTTCATTAAGGTATTCAGGCATCTGTAATAGTCTCATATAATGCTATTCTGTCACAGCACCCGTCTTCCTTTTCTACACATTAAAAAAAAATCAAACTGAAACTAGTGGCTAACAGCTGTTAGCCCAGAACAGAATGGCTTCACAACCATTATCCCTTGTCAAGTCCTTTTTTCCTCAAGTGTGAGTAAACAGATGCCATGCTGTTTCATCCTGGGTGAGTGTGTGTGAACAGAGCGGATTTAAAGGAGGCCGTTGAAGAGCATTCTGCTCCCACTTAAATTTAAGACAAGATTGGAGTCTGGCGCCTCACAGATACTATCAGTTGGGCGCCGCTTATGATTTGAGAAACGACCTTAGTTGAGCCCTGATAGAGGGGATAGAAATTAGTTCTTCCACTGACCACAGGTGTGTGGCAGTAAGTACACAGAGTTGCAGTGTCTTACATAGAATGTCTTAAGCCAGGGGTGGCCAACTAGCACGTGTGCGTGGCATGCAGCAAATTGGGGAGGAGAAAGGCAGCCAGCAGCAGACAGGGGAGGAAGCAGAGAGCAAAGCAGCAAAACAGGTAGGGAGTGCAAGGAAGGAAGGAGAAAGCAGAGCAGCCAGTCTGGCAGAGAGCATAAGGATGGGAGTAGAAAGCAGAGCAGTGGATCGAGCAAAGGAAGGGTATCAGTGTGGCACATGGAAAAAGGTGCAGGGCTAATTTGTGGCACACCTGCCAGAAAGATTGTCCCACTGGCCTAAGACATTCAGAGCTTTTTATAGGTGAAAAGTTACAACTTGAATTACACCCAGATACCAGAATGCAGCTGGTGTGGAACTCCAGGCACTGCTAATACGTTAACCTAGTAGGACGTGCCACTTGAAATGCAAGCTGCTGCCTGCTGCATGAGTTTAGGTTCCTGAACTGATTTTAGCCTTTCTTTGAGGTAGAATGCTTTGTGGCAGTTTAGTTTTGACAGACATGATTAAGAGGTCAGCAAGTAAAAGAAAATATCTGTAATCTACTAGCCCAGCAACTGGAAGAAAGCATTTCTTGGCATTGCTGCTATATCTTTTTAGCAGCTGAAGCTTCAGCAGTTCTCCATCAACTGCCAACACCTTGGCTTTGCCTTGGAACTTAATTTACCTGCTGTTTCAGGCTGGACTGAGAGAGATCAATCCATATGTTAAAGTTTATTGCTCAGCAGCACAGAAATCAAGGCAGCTTGGAGGGACTTAACTGAATTGGTGTCAGTCATTATTCAGAAGATAATCCATATTATGTTCCCATTTTAGCATGACAAACTAGATCACGTGTTACCTCAACAAAATATACATTCAGAAAATTAATTAGAATTTTAAGTTGCAAGGCACCCTAGGAGGAATACCAAGCTCCCTAAGGCTCGTCTTTGTAAGCGTTTTGGGTTTCAGATGAGCCAGGTTCTCAGTCTGGCAAATTTTACTGATTTATAAAGTCTTGGTAGATCATAGGTACTGACTATAAAGTAGTCAAATAATTACTGTTTGTTCAGCTAAAAACAAAACAAAAGAAAACAGTGTATATGTTACATTCCTAATCTGAATATTTTTAATACTACTAGCTCTAGAATTGATCAAATAATCTGAAAAGTTTTACAGACAAAATACTTTTGCCTGTTATTGGCTTGGCACTAGCTACTCACTGACCCCTGTGTTTCTTCTCTCTTTCTTGTCCTATTTTGAATGTAAAGAGACATTAGGAGGAGAAAAAGGGCCAAATTCCAGAGAAATCTTACTTAATAAAATAATTTTAGAGACTGTCATGTGAAACTTCAAAAGTATAATACTAATCATCTTTTACCAGTGGATCACAAGGACAAATCTGTGCCAGATTCTTGGAATAATGTGCTGCTGCTACATAAATTGCTATTTATGTCATTAAAAAAAAAATCAACATTTAAGATTATATGCAGATACGATATATTTGTGAAAAACACTGACAGTGCTTATTACAAATGATTTCATAATTATTATAGCGAGTGTGGCCTTCAACTGAAGAAGCAGATGTGTTTTTGATTCATTGTTTTTGTAAGCACACGTGACTTATTTGATTACTTGTAATTTGCAAGTGGATTTTTATATTCCTAGTAGAAATACTGTTGAGTAAACAATAATCATATTGATACAACTTTTTTTCAAAGAAGTTTCTAAAATCACTGTGTCTGTTATTGACTCACCTCTAACTTTTATAGGTTCGATCAAAATCTTAAAGAAAAATTCTACACAAGGAAAGGAGTGAATCTTTTATGGGAATTCTCACAGATCTGCCTTCAGTGACTTCTAGACTGAAATTGGTAAGCAGCCAGGCTGAAAAGTGCAAATCACTTAAGAAGTGGGACAAGCTGTTTAGCACCACCATGCAGGTTCACTGCATCTATCAGTTTACTACTGTTTCTGTTTTATGTCCCCTAAAAAAGCAAAGATTCCTAAGGCTGTCAGAGCCATGACATAGTTTAGTTCTTTTAGGAAAAGGAATATTTGAGGGCTGTCCATGAGAATAGAGTATATGCTCTAAAAAGGTTGTCATAGAAAAGGGAAGATGTTAATCCTCAACACTTGTTTTACATGCTGAGAATTAACACTGTGCTTGGAATGTTATGAAAACATTACCCTGGGGAGTTCACGCTCTAAGAGGTACTAACAGAGTTTGAAAAACTCTTTTAGACACCTGCACTTTGTAGATGTGTAAACTAGAGACTAATATGAAGGGAGATCATTGCTGTGGGGCAGTTCTTTGGTGAGAAGCCCAGTCCATCAGCTTCTGGGATGGAATAGTTTTCTTATCAGAGTCTTATCTTTGGATCATCTTTGGGAGCTTCATAATTTGCATCAGTCTGTGGAGAGTAGGAAAATGACACCCTGCCATCTCAACCTCCTCTGACTGCAGGAAAGAGAGACCATTCATTCTTCTCTCTGAGTCTTTTCGCTGTAAGCCTGTTACTCTGCTTGTATCTGAGCCTCCATTTAGTTTTCTCCTTCCCAGTTTAAATCTGTGCCATTGATACTGTACATAGCTTTCCTAGTCAGTAGCATGAAATTAACACAAATTTGTGGATATCCAGGTAGGAAAAGTAGCAATAGAATGCCTAGACTTTGGTCAGCTTTAATTAAACAACAGCTTATGCCCTAGGCCAGTGGTTTTCAACCTTTTTTTCATTTGCGGACCCCTAAAAATATTTTGAATGCAGGTGCCAGACCCCTTTGGAAATTTTGAATGGATGTGTGGGCCTCTTTGAATTTTAAGTGTGGGAATTCACATACTTTTGATCATAGTCAACTTTTGTGGACCTTGGGATCCACAGACCATAGGTTGAAAATTACTGCCCTAGGTAACAGCAGAAGCATTAGATCTTGGGCACTTGTTAAGGAGGCTTGGGATTTCTTTAAGTCAGGAATGCAAAATCTATTTGACATTTTCATCACAAAGGAAAGAAACTGAAAAGTTAAGGATCCAGAGATTAGTTGGGGAATAACCACCCTCAAAAAGGATATTATGAATAAGCAGAAAGCTTCTGAGGAATGAAAAAGAGGATTCAGCAAAGAAAGTGATTTTTTTGAAGGTCCAAAAGTCTAAAGCTAAATTGCAATTGTTAGAAATCAAGCCATGGTAGATTTTACCATGTAAAGTAAAGTAAAAGTTATTTAGTCAATAAATAAGAGAACAGGGGAAGAAGTGAGATTGCTAGGCAATTAGTTTGGGGTTAAAATTAAAGATGATTTAGATGCAATTTAAAAACTAAATGAATACTTATCATCTTTAATGAAAACTGACGTAGTTGAACTTGGGGCCAAAGGAAGGAGAGGCAATGTGCATTGAAACAAAAATAACAACAGCTAAGATGGAAACAGCTCAAAGATTCTAATGTGTTAACTGAGGCAGAGGGTGGGCATGAGGGAATGGAGATCGGATAATGTGCGTTCCCAAACTCTAAAAAAAAGAACTGGCATACACAAATGCAAGTCCAGTAGCAAGGATTAAATCTGTCAAAATTATATTATGTTAATAGCATGTATGATTACAGGATTCTTTGTGAAGTAAAGAATAGTTAAAGATGTGGAGGTAAATAGAAAATGGGAGATTAATTCAAGACTTGTAGAATGATAAGGAACTGGTTAAAAAAACAACAATGATGTGTTGGGCTGAAAGAGGGGGACTGTCAAAGTTCAGGGGTATTGTTAGTGGAGATCCTTAAGGATCAATCCTGGGACACAATCTTAAATATTTTCATTAGTGGTCTAGGCAGAAAAAATACAAGTGTATTGATAAAATTTGCCGTGCTTCAGAGTTGGGAGGCGTCATTAGTACAGGAGGATCCAAATACAAGATGACCTTAAACTTGGTATAAGAGAGATGGAATTGATATTCAACCATATTGAAGGCCAGATTGTTCATTTAGAAACCAATGACAATAAATAAGACTAATAATTGGGAAGGTCATTAGTTAGAAATGACAAAAAAAGACTTATCTGTATTAGTCATTTACAAGAAGACGGTGAGCTGTCAGTGTGAGGTGGCTATTAATAAAGCAAATATCCTAGTATATACGAGGCACAGTAGAGCTAAGGAACCACTAATGTAGTTATAATTATTGATTGTACAAGACACTGTCAACACATTTGGAATACTGTTTACAATTTTGAACACCTATGTTCAATGAAGATTAATTCAGAAATTAATTAGTGAAGAGAAGGGTTACTAGGATGAATGAGGAATGGAGAGTAAAAGAGCCTGGCTTGTTTAGTTTAGTAGAACAAAGGCTGAAAGGATCTGAGTGCTCTCTATAAACACATCAGGGAGATAAACACCAGGAGCTGTTAAAGCTAATGGACAGTGTTGGCACAAGAACAAATGTGTATTAGCTGGCCATGAATAAACTTTAGTCCGGGAATTGGAAGCAGGCTTCTAACGACCAGAGGAGTGAGATTCTGGAACAGATAGTAGTTGGGGCAAAAAGCCTAGCCATTTTCAAGATGGAACTGGCATTATATGGCATGTTAGCTGCTATAGCAAGGGAAGGTACTGGACCCCAGAGGCCCTCTCCAGTCCTTGGGCCTTTTGTGTTTTGTTTTGTTGAAGTTCTTTCTAGTTTGTAGGAAAAGCACCTGAAGGTCAGTGGGTATGATTTTTTTCAATTTCTGGGTATTTAAAATAAGCCTGATTTATATAAAAGGAGTACCCAACCTGTGAATTGTGGAGCCTGTTTTAACACTCTAAGGTCCAAATTGTGGCCTTTAAGGGCAACTGTACTCAGAAGATGTGTGTGCTGTTTATGAAGTGTAATTGTATTCCTGGAACAGTGTTCTCCATTTTTAAACTAACAAATTTTTAATCAGTCTTTATCTTACTTTCTTGACTTGCCTACATTGATTCCCTGCAGTCCCAGGTGCAGCTCTAATATGATCTTGGAAGTGCACTGAACAGCTGCTCAGCACCCACTTAGTTGGCTGCTTGCTGCATCATAGAGAAGAGAGGATTGTTTCTGGCTCCATTGCCCGCACCAGGGAGAAGAGGATAAAAACTTAACTGGCTGTGCCTGGACCCACAACAGTGGTTCTCAACCTTTTTAGACTCAACCTCCATAACTGTCTGAAGTCAGTGGCACCTCATTTGGAAAACTAATTTATCTCATTTTTGACTGCAGGGAAATAATAAAGCAGTTCTGTTGTAAGATGCAACAGGTCAGAATGGTGTTGATGTTGTGGATGCCTGTTTGAAATCTCTTGGTTTATTTTGTGAATTATGTACGTATTTATGCATCTAACAGTGCTAATATTGCATGGCACCTTGCAGCACCTTAAAAGAATCTCATGGTACATGAGGGTGCTGCAACACCCTGGTTGAGCATCACTGGCCTGGGCAAATGTTGCCAGTAAAGAATGGCTTTCTTTCCTTGTATAAATATTCATGGTAGCTCAGGGGAAAGAGAGAAGGTGAGAACCACTCCCTAGTGATGCTTCTTGAGTCTTCACTCCCAGGGGTCTGAACTGGTGCTAGCTGGCAGGGCACCTAGGGTGTCTGTACATGTGAACTCATAGGCCCATTCAGATAAGCATGGCCATGCAGTATGTGGTGCAAAGGCATGTCTGCAACACCACATGCCACACATTCAGCTGTTCTCTGTGCTGCAAGGGAGCAGCACAGGGTTTTTTTTTGACCTGTAGATATTCAGGGGTCAAAAAACAGCGCCAAGAAAAATCAGAGTGGCACACACGAGGGCAGCACACGCTTCTCAAAACTAGAGCCTGGCTGGCCGGAGCCATGCTCCAACTGCCAGCCAGGCTCCAAGCACCAGGATCACCGCTGCTGCAGCGCCAGCAGCAGTGCTGGCCCCAACCCCCTTAGCCCACCTGGGGTAACCTGCTGCGTGCCAGAGGGTGTGTTGCACAGGCATTCCCTGGGGACAATTAGCAGCAGCACAAGGTGTCTTGCTGCTGGTTGTCTCTGGGGAACCAAAAGTGTATGCTTGTGTTGACCAGGCCATAGGGTTCCTTTAAGCCCTACTTTTCTCTGAGCTTGTGACTTGCAGGTAGTTCTCGCTGCCCCCCCCCACGTGCAATGCCTGAGTAAAGAAGA